CAACGAAAAATCGGGTGTAACTGTCCCCTCCACTCCCTCGCCAACAAAAAATCGAGTGTAACCGTCCCCTCCCCCTCCCTCGCCAACAAAAAATCGAGTGTAACCGTCCCCTCCCCCCCCCCATCCCTCGCCAACAAAAAATCGAGTGTAACCGTCCCCTCCCCCCCCCCCATCCCTCGCCAACAAAAAATCGAGTGTAACCGTCCCCTCCCCCTCCCTCGCCAACAAAAAATCGGGTGTAACCGTCCCCTCCCCCCCCCCATCCCTCGCCAACAAAAAATCGAGTGTAACCGTCCCCTCCCCTCCCCCTCCCTCGCCAACAAAAAATCGAGTGTAACCGTCCCCTCCCCTCCCCCTCCCTCGCCAACAAAAAATCGAGTGTAACCGTCCCCTCCCCTCCCCCTCCCTCGCCAACAAAAAATCGAGTGTAACCGTCCCCTCCCCCCCCCCCATCCCTCGCCAACAAAAAATCGAGTGTAACCGTCCCCTCCCCCCCCCCATCCCTCGCCAACAAAAAATCGAGTGTAACCGTCCCCTCCCCCTCCCTCGCCAACAAAAAATCGAGTGTAACCGTCCCCCCCCCCCCCCCACTCCTTCCCTCGCCAACAAAAAATCGAGTGTAACCGTCCCCTCCCCTCCCCCTCCCTCGCCAACAAAAATTCGAGTGTAACCGTCCCCTCCCCTCCCCCTCCCCCATCCCTCGCCAACAAAAAATCGAGTGTAACCGTCCCCTCCCCTCCCCCTCCCTCGCCAACAAAAATTCGAGTGTAACCGTCCCCTCCCCTCCCCCTCCCCCATCCCTCGCCAACAAAAATTCGAGTGTAACCGTCCCCTCCCCTCCCTCCCTCGCCAACAAAAATTCTAGTGTAACCGTCCCCTCCCCTCCCTCCCTCGCCAACAAAAATTCGAGTGTAACCGTCCCCTCCCTCACGCTCCACGAGACCCAAGAGTGTGTGACGTAACTCTCCCGTCAACATACCTTGTATGTGTTTGGCAGGGGCAGCAAGCATGAGCATGAGTTATCGAACTTGTCCCCATTCCTCAGCAAGCTGTGAACAGTTGTCTGCCCTTTAGTGTGAATGTTTGGCCCCCAGCAGAAGGCACAACACCAACAGATCGGCGGTCGTACGGTACTCAGGGCCCAGTGGCTCGTCTAGTGGCTCGTCTAGTGGCTCGTCCAGCGGCTCGTCCAGCGGCTCGTCCAGCGGCTCGTCCAGCGGCTCGTCCAGCGGCTCGGATGAGGCTCCTCTAGTGGCTCCTCTAGTGGCTCCTCTAGTGGCTCCTCTAGTGGCTCCTCTAGTGGCTCCTCTAGTGGCTCCTCTAGTGGCTCCTCTAGTGGCTCCTCTAGCTGTCCTAACAGTTGACATCGATACGTCACTGACCGGTTATCCATTCAACTACATGACGTCATCTTGATACAGTTTTTATTTTGTGACGCAACTTTGAGATTTTTTAGTTAGTTGTGTTTACACGTTGCTATGGCGACGAGAACTTGATACATTCTTAATTTGGATTATGGAAACTATTGTCTACTGAAGCTAAAAAAGGTAATTTTTTTTAATAAACTATTTTATACTGCAGCTAAAAGGGGAAACCATTGATAAACTAATTTGTACTGAAGGTAATCATTTATAAACTAGCAATTTATAAATGTCTGTATACTGTAGGTGCACGGATCGCATCTGGAAATAGCGAATGTTAGTTTAGATACAAATCTTGACCTCTTGCTCTCAAACGTTTTTACCTTTGCACAAAAAATTCAAAACTTGCCTAGACTAGAACACAATTTCTATTTTAATTAATTGCCAAGTGTCTCAATATAATCCACATACTCAATGCTTAAAAATAATAAAGCGAGTATTTATTCAGACACGTGAAAAGGGGTGGGGGTGTATTTAACGTTAAAACAACAAACAAAAATGGAGTTTTGTTTACCAAACTAGTGTTTTGTTTACAGACTGAAGAATATTGAGTTTAACAGTAAACACATGGAGCCATTACAGGCGTAGTGTTGTGTTTGTGTCGTGTTTGTGTTGTGTTGTGTTTGTGTTGTGTTTCCTTGGTTTGTTTAAATCCCAACGGCAGAAATAAAAAGGATCGACAATGTTGAGTAAAATAGCGGAGAGTCGAGTCAGATACAGGGGATCACGTCAAACAGTGACTAAAATACAGGGGATCACGTCAAAAGGTGACTAAAATACAGAGGATCACGTCAAAAGGTGACTAAAATACAGGGGATCACGTCAAACAGTGACTAAAATACAGGGGATCACGTCAAAATGTGACTAAAATACAGGGGATCACGTCAAACACTGACTAAAATACAGGGGATCACGTCAAACAGTGACTAAAATACAGGGGATCACGTCAAACAGTGACTAAAATACAGGGGATCACGTCCAACAGCGACTAAAATACAGGGGATCACGTCAAACAGCGACTAAAATACAGGGGATCACGTCAAACAGTGACTAAAATACAGGGGATCACGTCATACAGTGACTAAAATACAGGGAATCACGTCAAACAGTGACGAAAATACAGGGGATCACGTCGACTAAAATACAGGAGATCACGTCAAACAGTGACTAAAATAAGGGGATCACGTCGAACAGTGACTAAAATACAGGGGATCACGTCGAACAGTGACTAAAATACAGGGGATCACGTCGAACAGTGACTAAAATACAGGGGATCACGTCGAACAGTGACTTTAACTTTTCATTTCCTCTGGGCAATTTAAACATGACATGCCATCAAAATTACTGTATTAAAGTTTTCAGATTGAAATAGGATCACATAGATCTTATACAATTTTTAATCAAGTTTAAATTTTAAACGTTATATTTAACTTTTGCATCCAATCGTTTTAATGTAGTGTAATTTTTCATTGTGTTTTATAGATCTATATGCTTGTCACTACTTTGGTTAAAATTTAGTTCAGGCTATTCTAGTTAAAGTTTGCAATTCAGTAACTTGGAACATCTCCTTTGATACTAACTAGTTCTACACTGCACCTCGATGTAACAATACATAGAGCAGATGAAGTAGAGTTAATCTATTTCAGCACTATGATCAACCGCCTTAGTTTTCTAACGTCAACTCGGTGAACTCAGTAACGTCCCACGGACTCCAATCTCGAGATCCGAACTCGAGACTTTCGGGTTGACAGTCGTGGGCTCTACCATCCGATCACACCATACCATAGCTGGTAGTTTGGTACTACATTGTAAAATGTGAAATTTCTCATCTTTCCTATCTCACGTGTTTATCTCTGCTGCTATCAACTACCTCACTGGCTTATCTCATTTTGTTTTATTTGTAATCGATGTACGGTTAAAAATAAAAACGTATTTTTAAGCGATCTAAAATTAATTAATTTGAAATTCACGTTACATATGATCTCGTTAAAACGTTATCCTTGTCCGTCTATCGAAAGAATTTTCTTTTTGTCGGTGGAAATTTAACTTTAAAAACTAAAGACCAAAAGATTTTTCTATTTAGAAAAAAAAAACATATTTATATACTGCGTAATAAAGATATTCCAAAAATGGTAAAAACAATTTAAAAACAAAAACAAAGTGTTTTCTAAAGCTTTTCTCCTGATGGAATTGTTTTCGAGAAGAGACTTCACGCTAGCGTTCTAGCGCTCCTTCCCAAACTAAATCCACGCTAACTCCTGCTCTGTGCTCGTTAACTAATTTCATGGCTACAAATTCCCTTCACACCGTTTTGGGGTCCGGGTGCTGCTTTTTTATCTTTACACCGTCCACTGGCGTAGGAGTGATTGTAATGAATAAATGGAAACATTCCATTTCTTTGCCCGGGTTTAGCGCCGGAATGAGAAAGTGTTGGTCCGTTTGGCAAGTTTTGTCCAGGAGTTTTGTGTGGGAAGTATCCAGCAGAAGACAAATAATCTCGTCCCCTCTCGTCTCGTCCAAGTCCCGCGAGACTTCCTCAGTCGACTTGTTAATTGGTCTCTATTTGTTCGTTACACCAGACCGAATTGTTCGCCGGGCTTTAGAATAGGGACCCCAAAACGGAAGTCATTCCACCTAGTTGATGCCATTCACGAAATTAGCTGGGGCGATATGGACCGTGTTAGGGGAGGGAGGGGAGGGGGGGGGGGGGTAAATCGTGCAAAAAATGAAACAATATCAAAGCTTACGATTAGTTTAGACCAGGGGTCGGCAACCTTTCGAAGCGGAAGAGCCAAAAGTTACAATGTTCAAAATTTCCCTGGTTTTAAAGAGCCACTAACATTTTTTTATTTCAAATATTTTATTTTTTTATTAAGATTATTAGTATTTGTTCAAGGAGCTGGAGAGCCGCATCTTGATATAAAAAAAGCCGCATGCGGCTCGCGAGCCGCAGGTTGCCGACCCCTGGTTTAGACTGTTCTGTTATATTGAGACAATATGAAAGCTCACGATTAGGTTAGACTGTTCTGTTACAGTGAAATAATACCAAAGCTGACGATTAGCGGGGATATTCGCGTTTTCTGGGAGTGAGTTGTGGATTATTAATAAGAGAGTGTAGTATGAGGGGGTGGGGGGGGGGGGGGGTTGTCTCAGTTAGGCAGGGCAGGAGCCAGAAGTTTGTGACAAGTAAATCCACGGGAATCACGTGACACATTTATCAATAGGTTGGTGACGTGAAGCCAGCACTCACCGTCTGACCTAGGGGCTAGAGGTCAACCCGGGTTTCATGGGGACAGGGCTGTCTGTGACGCGGGGATTGTGACTCTTCAATGGGGACAGGGCTGTGTGTGACGTGGGATTGTGACTCTTCAATGGGGACAGGGCTGTCTGTGACGCGGGGATTGTGACTCTTCAATGGGGACAGGGCTGTCTGTGACGCCATATTGTGACTCTTCAATGGGGACAGGGCTGTGTGTGACGCGGGATTGTGACTCTTCAATGGGGACAGGGCTGTCTGTGACGCCATATTGTGACTCTTCAATGGGGACAGGGCTGTGTGTGACGCGGGATTGTGACTCTTCAATGGGGACAGGGCTGTGTGTGACGCGGGGATTGTGACTCTTCAATGGGGACAGGGCTGTCTGTGACGCGGGGATTGTGACTCTTAATGAGCACAGGGCCGTGTGTGACGCGGGATTGTGACTCTTCAATGGGGACAGGGCTGTCTGTGACGCGGGATTGTGACTCTTCAATGGGGACAGGGCTGTCTGTGACGCCTGTGACGCAGGATTGTGACTCTTCAATGGGGACAGGGCTGTCTGTGACGCCTGTGACGCAGGATTGTGACTCTTCAATGGGGACAGGGCTGTCTGTGACGCGGGGTTGTGACTCTTCAATGGGGACAGGGCTGTGTGTGACGCGGGGATTGTGACTCTTCAATGGGGACAGGGCTGTGTGTGACGCGGGGATTGTGACTCTTCAATGGGGACAGGGCTGTCAGTGACGCGGGATTGTGACTCTTCAATGGGGACAGGGCTGTCTGTGACGCGGGGATTGTGACTCTTCAATGGGGACAGGGCTGTGTGTGACGCGGGGATTGTGACTCTTCAATGGGGACAGGGCTGTGTGTGACGCGAGATTGTGACTCTTCAATGGGGACAGTGCTGTGTGTGACGCGGGATTGTGACTCTTCAATGGGGACAGGGCTGTCTGTGACGCGGGATTGTGACTCTTCAATGGGGACAGGGCTGTCTGTGACGCCTGTGACGCAGGATTGTGACTCTTCAATGGGGACAGGGCTGTCTGTGACGCCTGTGACGCAGGATTGTGACTCTTCAATGGGGACAGGGCTGTCTGTGACGCGGGATTGTGACTCTTCAATGGGGACAGGGCTGTGTGTGACGCGGGGATTGTGACTCTTCAATGGGGACAGGGCTGTGTGTGACGCGGGGATTGTGACTCTTCAATGGGGACAGGGCTGTGTGTGACGCGAGATTGTGACTCTTCAATGGGGACAGTGCTGTGTGTGACGCGGGATTGTGACTCTTCAATGGGGACAGGGCTGTCTGTGACGCGGGATTGTGACTCTTCAATGGGGACAGGGCTGTCTGTGACGCCATATTGTGACTCTTCAATGGGGACAGGGCTATGTGTGACGCAGGATTGTGACTCTTCAATGGGGACAGGGCTGTGTGTGACGTGGGGATTGTGACAAGATTCTGTCTGAAGAGTACCATGAATGTTGTTAATATTAGATTAAAAACATTATAAGATGAGGTACATTGCTAAGTTGTAAGCATATATATATATATATATGTGTATGTGTGGAGTTAAAGTGCTGACATCAACTTGATCTCGAGTTAATCAGCTCTATGCCCGGTACCCAAATAAGCTGATACGGCTGGGAAGCGTGGGAAAAACCTCAAGTGCGACAAAAATAAAACTTGATAAATCGCGGCGCCAAATAGATGAAGCGGTCTGCAACTCGAACGGCGCACGCGTCATTTCTGTCAGTCAGCGAGTCACCCGACTCCGGGCGGACCGAGGGCTGCTGGGAGCGACGACACCAGGGGGCATTAAATTGGCATCGAACTGGAATTTCTGACCGCCTTGATCAAAGACGTCTTCATCTCTATGACGTCATTTGGTGCCGGACAGACGCTCGTAGGAGAAGTACACCCCCACTTGACCAACACGATAAGCCATGTTAATTCCACAAACGTAGCTTTAAGCCATGCAAATTCCACAAACGTAGCTATAAGCCATGTAAAGTCCACAAACGTAGCTATAAGCCATGTAAAGTCCACAAACGTAGCTATAAGCCATGTAAAGTCCACAAACGTAGCTATAAGCCATGTAAAGTCCACAAACGTAGCTATAAGCCATGTAAAGTCCACAAACGTAGCCATAAGCCATGTAAATTCCACAAACGTAGCCATAAGCCATGTAAATTCCACAATTACAGCTATTAGCTACGACAATCTTTTAAGCGCAGCTATAAGTTATTTCAATTTTTTTTACTTATGCCGTAAGCTGTTCGGCGTTAATAGATTAGACTTGTAAGAAATTATTCTCTACTCAATGTTTCAGTGTCTTTACCAGAACTTGTATAGCAAAAATTGGGTGGGCACAAATCCAGGTCTATCTGGTGGCCTCGTGAGTCGACTATTACAAAAATTGGTTTGGTATTCCTGTGTTTTTAAAGTTAGTTCACTTAGAAGCAAGCTTCCCCGGGGGAGGCGATCACTAGTTTCATGGGAGGTGCGAAAAGCTTTCAGAAAAATGTGCGATCTAAAGTTATACAAATAGAAACCATTTTCCTATGACAATTGAAGCGTTTGTCTCCGTGTACTGACCAAGTCCACGCTGTATCGACTGTCCAACGTGTACTGACCAAGTCCACGCTGTATCGACTGTCCAACGCCCAGTGTTTCAGTTGTCCCCTGATTTGTGATGTTCGATCTCTGGAAGTTCCAATCAATATCTGGTCAGCTATGTCTGTAGTCGAACAATCCGTGGCCAGACAAGTCCACGCGTCAGGTTCAGTGATGAAGGTTTGTTTGTAGATATAACACCATTAATATAACAACATTAGTCATATAACAACATTTGTCATATAACAACATCGGTGATATATCAACCCCAGTGATATAACAACACCCGTGATACAAAACATTAGTGATATTACAACACCAGTTTTAAAACACATTTGTTTTGTATATTTATACCTTTTATAAATTACAATACAAATGCTATATAACAACACTAGTTGAAGAATTCCTTAACACCTGCTACCTAACATTACCAGTGGTACATAACGAGATCACTGATATAGAAACACAAGTTTTATTAAAACAGTAATATATATATATATATATATATATATATATATATATATATATATATATATATATACACCTTTAAAGTATAAGAACACAATTAATACATAACAACAGCAGTGATACAACATCTCCCATGATATGATTCAGTCCACACGAAATGTGTGGTCAAAAAATGTGATTTAGTTCACACGAAATGTGTGGTCAAAAACTGTGATTCGGTCTTCCGGTAGGCTCAAGAAAAATGAACCAATTTGAATAAGATCACGTGATCAGAATGTTTCAGCTATTGAATATCAACAGAAATCATTCATGACAGTGAAATCTGGAGTTTGGATAGACAACCTAGACTGTGATACTAGGCCCATTTTGTTTATAGAACATTCACTGTAACTAGGCCGATTTTGTTTAAAGTATAGAACATTCACTGACTGTGATACTTTGCCGATTTTGTTTATAAAACATTCAATGACAATGATACTAGGCCGATTTTGTTAATAAAAAAAGTAAAAATAAAAATCTCGATATTTCAGAGAATAAAGCGTTTGCTACCTGTTTGAATCAAATTATAACCCTATATGAAACTACTATATGTATTGTGTGACTCGGATAGATCGATAATGATTTAAGTTGCAATCAACATGTACATCGGTGTCTCAGCCGGTAAGTGTGAGTGGTGCTGGATGGTACTCAGAAAAACCCAGTCTATAACTTTCTCGTTGTAGGAGGGGGGTTGGGGAGTCAAGGCAGAGGGGAGGGATAGACTTACGGGGGGGGGGGGCTTGGCTGGGAACACCTTGTGAAGATTGCTTACATAATGAGAAGTAAAAAGAAATTGGAAATGCAAGAAGAAATCGGACCCGTGGTGGATTATTTGTACAGAAGTGTGGTACATGGGCCAGTCTCCTGATATGGCCCGTCCCTAGGGATATATGGACCTGGGAATATGGCACGTCCCTGACACTAACCCACACCTCCCCTAGCACTAACCCACACCTCCCCTAGCACTAACCCACACCTCCCCTAGCACTAACCCACACCTCCCCTAACACTAACCCACACCCACTAACACTAACAAACACCTCCCTAGCACTAACCCACACCTCCCCTAGCACGAACCCTAGCACTAACCCACACCTCCCCTAACACTAACCCACACCCACTAGCACTAACAAACACCTCCCTAGCACTAACCCACACCTCCCCTAGCACTAGTCCGCACCTCCCCTAGCACTAACCCACACCTCCCCTAGCACTAACCCACACCTCCCCTAGCACTAACCCACACCTCCCCTAGCACTAACCCACACCTCCCCTAGCACTAACCCACACCTCCCCTAGCACTAACCCACACCTCCCCTAGTACCCACACGTCCCCTAGCACTAACCCACACCTCCCCTAGTACCCACACCTCCCCTAGAACCCACACCTCCCCTAGCACTAACCCACACCTCCCCTAGTACCCACACCTCCCCTAGTACACACACCTCCGCTAGTACCCACACATCCCCTAGTACCCACACCTACCTTAGAACCCACACCTCCCCTTGAACCCACACCTCCCCTAGTACCCACACCTCCCCTAGTACCCACACCTCCCCTAGTACCCACACCTCCCCTAGAACCCACACCTCCCCTAGCACTAACCCACACCTCCCCTAGTACCCACACCTCCCCTAGTACCCACACCTCCCCTAGTACCCACACCTCCCCTAGTACCCACACCTCCCCTAGAACCCACACCTCCCCTAGTACCCACACCTCCCCTAGTACCCACACCTCCCCTAGAACCCACACCTCCCCTAGCACTAACCCACACCTCCCCTAGCACTAGTCCACACCTCCCCCAGAACCCACACCTCCCACTCTGTGATACAGTTGTGTTCCAGCCATATTGTTTGATTGAAATGTAAAAGCCAGACAATGAAATCGACTATTACTTCCATATATTAGTCGTATGTTACCTTTGTGGTTTTAACTTTACTTTGTATTTCCAACAGAGATTAAATATCATTTAAATAAGGTATAGTGTACTGAAGAACACACATTACATATTTTTATATAGGCCACTATCCTAAATACATTTAGAGGACAGCAACTATCTCATTCTCAACTATATGTAGGTGATCGCAATTTTCTCGAATAACTGTTAACTAAAAGCTTATATACCGACAGCCCTATTATAAAACAAAGAACCACCACGTACCTTGTGTAGACAATGACCCTAATCGATGGTTGAGGTAACTTAAGGAAACAAATCAAATATAAAGTGGTTTTATGTCCAGTGCTGGCTCTATCTAATTAGATCAATTGTGTTCGTGATGTAGAGTATACTCGTAAATGTGTACTCCATTTATAATAACTCATGCTTGCTAAAAAATGTTGATTAATTAATGGGAATTAAATAATACTAAATCTATAATTACTAAACAATGTTAATCAATCAAGACTAATTAATTAAACATAAAGCTATGCTAGGCAATTCCATCTCGTCTATGGAATACATTGGATCAACATTTTGAGACTTTCATTTCCCACTAAAATAAAAAGGGCTAATACCTTCAAATCGTTAACAGATGACCTCGACATTGCTATGTTGCTCAACGCGCTGTGTTAAGAGCGCTTTAAACTAAAACTATTTGACAAACTTACATTCTAGCAGACATTACACCTCCCTTGTAGATTACACACCCTCCCCCTCTATGTTAATTACTACTACCCATTACCAATCACAACACGAAATTCGTTTGTAGTGTAATACTTACACATTGCTTTTGTAGTGTAATACATGTACATATTGTTTGTTTATTGTGTAATACACTCACATATTGTTAGTTGTAGTATAATACACTTACATATTGTTTGTTTGTAGTATAATACTCTAACATATTGTTTGTAGTGTAACACTTACATATTGTAATGCTAAGCTTCACTTACGTATGTTTGGATTTAGCCGCAAAAATGTGAAACTTCAGCTTTTTGTGGGGGTTGGGTTTGAGAAACTTCAGCTTTCTGTAGGGGTTGGGTTTGATATACGGTCGGTCTGTCCTTTGATTAAAGTACATCTCATTGTTAATCTTGACCGTCGTGTCTAGCGAGCCCATGTAGGGGCATTAATTTTTGGAACATCCCCAATGCCATCCCTTGTTGCTATTGGTCACCCAGACATTTGGCGCTATAAAGTGAGCGGTGTTTACAAAATGTGTTCATCAGTAGCGATATGGTTGACGCTCGGACCAATCAGAAATAAAATCAGATGCTGTGAGTTTTATTCACGGAGTATTGATGTTGTTGTTGACTTTGTAAATAGAGACCCTACCTACGGCTTTCGTGGCATAATACACAATCTGAAAAAGTAGGTTTTTATACTTTATCAGGAAATGTCACTATTACTACTTAGTATTGTTTATTTTTTTTTATAAGACTGTAGATCTACTAAGGGGACAAAATTGACAGGGGTCAATTAACGGGGGGTCGGAATTAGACTTGAGGTGGCATGATAGCAGGAAATATGACCGGCTGTAATTGACAAGTGGTAATGTCCAGCTCTTATTATAGCAGTCCATACCCCCCCCCCCCCAAACAGACCACGATCTCTAATTTACTATCAGGCTACACATGACCTAATTAAACCAATGTTTACAAATTGTAATCACTCATTATCCAATCCACTGAAGCGGGAATTTAAAAATTTTGAACAATTTTCGTTTTTTCCATTAGACGTCGAAAGAAACATACTTTTTAAAATATTCATTAGGAACATAAAAAATTGCTTCTTTAATTGCTCTTT